TCATTCTTTTAATTTATTTTTTACATAAATCATATTGATTTATTATTAGAGTTTTATAATATGATATAACGGTTTATTCTTAATTTATGAATTATTTTTAAGATGGCATTACAATATTTTATAAGTTATCAAAGACTCAAACACTCTACAAAAAGATGCAAATCAAATTTATTGAAGTTAGTCGCAATTTGATTATTATTCTTTTTAACTTTCTATGACTAATTATATAATTACATATAAATAGGATTTTGTTTCTAATATTATCTACTCTTTAAAATTATAAAATGTATATTTATATAAAAATATTACTTTTTAGAATATTTCGAAATCAAAACTCCTTGTTTATTTTTTATAAATTGATTTTTTGTTATAAACTCAAATAAATAAAAATCTAGTTGTTGTGAGTATAAATTAGAAATCTTATTATTTGAGAGTTTTATTTTGGATAATTTAGTAATCACTATTAATTTGTATAATTATAATTTTACCTATCGTGGATATAATTATACAAATTGTTTAATTTTGAATAAAATATAACCATTCTTAATTTTTATAATTGTAACTTGTCTTCCGTGAATACAGTTGTACAATTTTGTTTAGTAAAATAATTAAATTTTTTGTAATTATAATAAATATTATATTGATAATAGTTATACCATATTGATATATTATTATTAAATTTATTTATTTTTAATGGACTTATGATTTATGATTATGTAAATTATTATTAGTATTAAAAATTTTTGTGGCATATGTTTGTACATTGTTATATTTCTTATTTAATACTGTTGAAACTATTATTGGATAAATAATTTTAAATACATATATTATTTTATGAAATCAAATAATTTATTTTATATCTTTTATTAAACTGGATTTCAATTCTCTAAATACTATGAAAGTGATGAACATACTTTATTGGTGTCACGTTACTTTACATGATTATTCTATGATAGAAAAAATAATTGAATATTCATTTAAAATAATATTTAAAACTCTTAATCTTAATTCAACTATTATTTTCTATGAAGTGAGATAATTTAACATGTCAAGTATATTAAAAATGATAAATAAATATTATTTATTTCATATATATTATTACAGATATTTATGTTAAGGATATTATAGTCTTGTACTTTTGATGAAACTGTACGACTACTTTTGTTATATTCTCAATATTAAATAAATTATCATATTTTTTCTACTACATGTAACATTATTTTTTCTCAAATGTGTGTAGTTATATTTGTAGCATTTGAGTTTTGAGCGAGTTATTAATATATTGTATAAAATCTTATATTTTATTTTAAATTATTCGGATTTGATCTCACTCAAAAGATGAAAAATGTTTTATATGACCATAATATTCTTTCATGTGAAATTATCTAAATAATAATATATTCTATTTACAGACAAAATATGTGGTTGAGTTTGTAAAATCTAATGATGATATATTATACAACCATTTTACTATATAGTTTTGCACTAAAAATAAAATTAGTATCTCATTATATAATCATAATATTTAATATTTGTGGGCTCTGATAAATCTTTATCCTATTTATTCAGGATAGATCAGTGAGAGTGCATGTGTTCACAATTAATTAATCTAAAAAAAATTTAAATTATTATTCTCATATTGTCATATATTTTAGGCACTATAGAAATATGATATGTTTTAAGAAGACTTCAAAATATACAATAACTCTAAGAAACCTTATTCTATTATACTGAGATATACTTATTCTCATAATCTCAAAAATATCATAATTTGATGTTTACGTCGATATTGATAAGGCACAATAATTCTTTAACTTGCAAAAATATTGTGTTATTCTATATTCAACATCCACACTCTTGAGATCATAAATACGAAAGTATAAGTATAATATCAATACTCCTACCGAGTATGATATTATTTTATGAATGTACTTAAGATTAAATGTAATTACTCTCTTAATAAGATATTCGTATATGTAATTACTATTCTTATACCTACATGGATATTCTATGACATATAATTTAAAACTCATTAGTATAATCACTATCGAGAGACTTATACACACGAGTAAGTTTTATGATATTTTGAGTTTGTGAGAGTTTATCATTAGCATGTTCATATGTTTTGGCCATTCTTTATAACATATTTCTCTTAACTTAAATATGTTACTCTAAATTCATCATTCTTTATATGAAATGTGAATCTTTAACATGTGTGATTTGTTTTCGCTATCAAATACAATTTCTACAGCGTTGAAGATTACTTATATTTTGATTGATTAGTGTTTTGACCATTATTAATATTTTAATATTAAAATAAATATTTTAATAATTAATATTATAATCCTAGTTGTTAGATTAATCATTTATTTGGATTGACATAATTAATTATTAATATTTTATATTATGGTCAATTCTTATAAAATACTAGTTATTGGTGAATAATTTGATTGGGTTTCGTGCGTGAATGAATCGTAATGGGTTAGATCATTCAATGAAGCTCAATGAGAGGTCTCTACCCTAAGCCGTTTAACTATTTAATTGTTGTCCCATTAAACGATTAAAATATTTAGAAAACTCTATATGACAATGAGGATAGTAATTCTCTCATGCTCACTTTACCTCAAACGGAAGTCTTTTTAGTTCTACAAGGTACACCATTCTTATTGTTCTTGATTATTCAATAATATTATAATATGTTATAATTTGTGTCTATCCAATTCTTTTAAATTCATCACAACTTTTCAGGATACTTCTTCCTATAGTTGTTATACAAGTGCCTCACGCAAAATCTTTGCTCAACATTAAGTAGTAGCTCATCTATTACGGGTAATAGACCCTGTAATACAAATATTATTTACTAGGCATAAAACAAATATAATATAAATAAAAGACATGAAAATTTGACACAAATAAAACATACCTTTTGTTGATCATAAATGAACGTTTAGGAAATAAACTAATTCCTACCTGCAAGATCATCAATCAGATGCTCCAAAAATCATGTTCAATTATCTTTTGTTTCCCCTTCCACAATAACAAAAGATATTGAAAACATATGGTCATTAGGATCTCTACCAATTGCTGATAAAATCATCCATCCATATAGACCCTTTAAAAACCATCCATCAAGACCAATAACATGCCTAAACAATTTAAAATTCTCATTACATACTATACAAAATATGTACAATCTTCTGAAATGAGGTCTTCTACCAACAATTCGTTTCTTGCACAAGTTGGGAATTTAACTTGATTATTGAACCATGATTTGATCTTAGGATTTCATGAGAATAGTCATAAATTCGTGTGTAATCTCCTAGGAAAGAACCATGTCCCTATCTACAAATCTAGCCTTTATCTTATTGACCCCTACATTTCATTTTCTTTGTGTCTTTTCCTTCACATCCTTAATCTTCATCCTAAGATTATTTTATAAGGAATTTTTAATCGTCTTACTTAAACATTTTGTAGTCATCATTTTGTACTCAACCATTTCTACATAAGTCCAACAAATTTAAAAATTAGAAAAGGGGGTGAAAATCAGGATACCCCTAAACCCAAAAAGAATAATTTGCCAAGGGGCGAATGTCAGGATATCCCTAAAATTAAAACCCTAAACACAAAAAAAAGATAAGAGTACATTTCGGCATGAACACCAGATAACATTAAAACCTTAAAATCCTAACACTAGAAAAAGATTAAAACCTAAAATCTGAAACAAATAAAAAAAGAAAATAGATATAGACTATTGCCAGCAATGATTCCTGAATGGTGTCTTCACACTCGTGTTTCCCAGATAACAGTTTAGTTACCTTCATTTTCATAGTCACTCATTGTCTCCTTTGATTATCAAATCGCATTCAATCCTTGTCTCCTTCGATTACAGTTTCACCTTCAATCACTGTCTCCTTCACTTGTTGTCTCTTTTGAATTCGTCTTCTTTTATCTGCTAGGATTTTGTTAGAATGAATATGATGATGAAACAAATTTCACTTAGCCATTCCATTATACATTAACTTAATCTCCACATTAGTGTCATGTGTATCTAACTTGGCTATTTAATTTGACTTTGACTAATAGATCTAAAAAATGACAAATGTGACACGTTCTCAAGAGAAAATGATCAAATAGGTCTTTTTAGTTAAGTGACTAAAATGGACTTCGAGTTAAAGATAAGAAACCAAAAAGGATATTAAGTTTGAAATAAATATATAAAATGTGCATACTCTTCGTACATTTTGTTGATTCCGCTAAGATGTCGTTTCTTCTGTTTAGCCTCATCACATAAACTCATAGCACAAATATGTATATAGATAGGACTGTTTAAAAAACTACGAATCAGCTGAACCGCCCAAATTGAACCAAACTGAAGTTAAAATAATTGAATCATTATGTTTGATTGGTGAATCGAACTATATTGCATACAGTTCTATAACTGAACCATATGTTAAGTAAACCAAACCCAAATTGGAACCTAACTCAACCGAAATTGAAAATGAAAATACTAAAGAAAAAAAGTTAATTTTTTTTAATTCGAAAAAATAGTCTAACAGTTCGGATCTTTAACAATTAGTTCAGTTTGAAAAAAATATTCTTATAATGGTTCAAACGATTCGGAATTTTGAAACGGTATATCAAACTAATAATTTTGATTCGTTTAAGTTCTTAATAAATTAACATCATTTAGTTTGATTCGAGTGTATTTTTAACATCATTTAATTCGGTTCGATTCGGTTTTTTCATTTATCAAGACCATGAACAGCCTATAGAAAATTGAATTTCAGTCTCATACATTTGTATTGTACATAACATTCTAGTTTGTAGTTGCAGGCTAGTCTGTGCACAAAAACCAATGATACCAAACAGGAACGTTTATATAATCACATCACTAGCTTTCAAATATACACATGATAACTATAGCACCTTAATATGCAGAAGGAAATAGTGAAGTAAATTAACAATAATAGCAACATTAAAAAAATATAAATCATCATGATTCATAATAATTTTGAAGAGGAATGCCACTGAAAGAAGCTTTGGAGGGTTGCAACATCAGCTCTATAGTGTTTCTGTGTGAATTCAAACAAACTAGCCCATGTGAAATCAGGGTACTTTCTTGCTTCATTTTTGCTTAACAAATTTTCTGATGGTCTCACAACCTTGTCTTCTCTTGGACACACAAAGAAAACCAATGATCTTCTTACTGTATATTTGTTCACCAATGCTCTATGCAGACAACTCTTGTATCTCCCATTTGATAACGCCTAAATATCCATCCAAAAAAAATCAATATTAATATCAACAAAAAATATAGTGACAGTCATAAAACCGCAGGTTACGGTATTTTGACTGTCACTACAAACTTTTATGTGTATTTAAAGAAAAATTTAAGATAAGTTTACTTACCATGAAAGTATCGCCTATGTTTATGACTAAGGCTTCAGATCTAGGGCGAACAGAAAGCCATTTGTGATTTGCAAAAACTTGTAAACCTCCAACTTGATCTTGATGAAGAATAGTTAATGAAGTAGGGTCAGAGTGAGGACCAGTACCAAAGGTGAGAGCTGAACTTTTGCAAGGTGGATAATAGTTACACCTCATTATTGAGTCACCATCTTGAAAAAATCTTCTATAATGCAAACGATCTATCCCCAAACTAATGGCCAATAGCTCCATAATTACTAAAGCTAATTCATTCATTGCTTCGCAGTACTTTTCATACACCAATCTATCACATCATCGTAAAGATAGAGTCAAAAACATGTACTAGAAAATACATTGTATAGTTCATTTGATCACTTCAAATAATTGAAGCATATCAGCCAATATAGTTAACTTTAATCGAAGTGAAATATGTGTATGAGAATTATTTTTATTACATTTTAATCATAAAAAATCATGAAATTATGTGTTATAGATCCAGTGTGTGGACTATGTCACAATAGAGTAGAGTGTGATTTGGATTGGATGGTTTGTGTGTGGACTATGTAGTGTCATTTGGATTGGAAGGTTTGATTGAGATTGCCTTGTCTAAATTTTAAAGGTTATTTTCACATAAATAAAATCCAAATTTTGATCATTTTTTATACTATTTAATGTCAATCAAACAACCATTAATATGCTGATTATGTGAATACATGAGATTGACATCATGTGAAATCCTAATCAAATAAATTTAGTATTGACTATAAGAGGAAACATGTGGAGATCACCCATTGATATATACATCGTTAAAAAAAAGAATATAATTAAATATTAAAATGTTTTCAATTTAGTCACACAATTCGCAATTTATATAAAATGTTTATAAATTATTTTCTGTTTATTTTTATAAATTCTCTAAGGATTTTTTTACTTTAGATATTCTCTAGTTTCATTTTTATAAAATATGTTTATAAAATAAACGTGAAAATAAATTTCAAATATACTTTATGAAAATAATAAAATAAATAATTAAAGTAAACAAGGCTTAAATTTTTTATAAATATAGTTTATAACTTATATAAAAGTACTTTTATTTTTATTTTTATTATAAAAGTAACTCATTCATAAACACTTTATATAAATAATTTATATGATAAACGTTTGTGCTATAACTATAAATAAGTATTTATTCATAAAGAACAAAGATCATCACTTTTCTGAAGACTTGGTTTTACCAACATCTAAACTTAGTCATCTTACTCATATGTTTCCATAATCTTATGATCACGCATGAAGTATATTTTTGATTGCTAAATCAAGATTAAATCATTTATATTTTTTATTTTTATTTTAAAAATTAAGAAAAATACAAGAAAATTTAAATTGTATAGTCTTTTATTTATTATTGATCAAATAGTCTAATAGCTGAAATTCAACTTTCTAAAAGTGAATAAATAGAATGTTGCAGAAACGGACCTGCACCCCTGCATTTAATGTCCTTACACAATTAAATTGACTTAACTGGACAAATTGCGCATGATCTTGATCTAGCGACGTTCAATAAATAAAATGTGTGAATGTGAATCTGATTTTAAATTAAAGTTTGTTACTATCTTAGTCACAAACTTAGCAATTGGATATTTATATCATTTTAGTTAAGAAATTTTGCTAAGAAGTTATAGTGGGTCAGTTCCAACAAAATAATGTGAGAAAAGTACTGTGGACCATGCATATTAAAATCAATTAATGTCGACCTTACCCTGTGTTTTGAAACTCTTCTCCTAAGACAGATTTGAAGTAGTTAACAATCTGAGAGTTGGAGCTATTTTGATGATGATTGTATACAAAAGAAAATGTCTCTTTCCATGGTAACTTAGAAGAGTATCTATCTGCATGAGCACCTGAGTATCCAGAGATTCCACCAGCTACCCTCTTAGCACTCAACTTCTTGCTAATAGGTTGCTTGAAAATGGAATCAACTTCACAATAAGCATCATTGATAAGATCTTGTTTCACACCATGATTTATCACTTGAAAGAAACCATGGCTCAAGCATGCTTTTCTAACAAGCTCAGCAGCACTTGCAATAGCTTTTTCATCACCACTATTCATGATGCTTAGGTCTATGAGAGGTTCTTTTAGTTCCTCTTGGGTTGTGCTAACTAAGTCTATAGAGGGCCAAATGAATTCTTTTGGTATATTCACTTGCTTTTGGAGCATATTTGAGTCAAATATAGAAAGCATATTTTCTTTTTTGGGTTCCTCTACTTGTGATGAAGGGTGAAGTACAAGAGTTGAAGTGTTTGAGTTCATTAGAGGAGCCATTTGCATGTATCAAAAGAATTGAAGGAGACTCTATATATAGCTAGTGGGGAAGGAAGACACGTAAATAATTAATTGATTGATAAGTATAATATTATCACTATATAACTAAACACCATTGGAAATTGTACATTGGATAAACAAATATTAAAGTTGTATATATATCTCAAGAGTGTTAGTATATTGTCAATAAATAATAATTTGATTGAAAATGAATATAGGCGCACATTAGTGTGAGAATCTCTTGCATGCACAAACGAATGTTTATTTAAAAATATGATGAACATTTTATTTAAATAAAATTGTAGATATATTTAATAAAGTTAAAAGCCACAAGTGAAATATATATATAGAATTTGAAAAAATATTCTTATAGAATATATTATTGTAAAATAATTAATAAATTTTTTTTTATTAATTTTATGGTTGAATGAATATTCATCTATTGAGAAAATGTTAATAGATGAATCGGAAGAATTAACTTTTTTTTTATATTTTTTAAAATGATTTATTAATTGATATAAATGGCATGATGTGGATGGTCATAAATAAGTGAATTTTATATTGTTTTTTATTAATTATATATGTTATATAAATAAGATTCATATTGTATAATTAATATATATATATATATATATATATATATATATATATATATATATATATATATATATATATATATATATATATATATATATATATATATATATATATATATATATATATATATATATATATATATATATATATATATATATATATATATATATATATATATATATATATATATATATATATATATATATATATATATATATATATATATATATATATATATATATATCGATAATGAGAATAATAAAATACGCTATATTATTCTCATTTCTCTCTAGTATTGTTTTGTTTATTTTATAACACGTTATTAGTATGAAACTATACTATATAAATATTTACAGATAATTTGATAATGAAATTCTATAATTAGAGATAATATTTGTTCTTTCATTTATTCGAAACTCTAAGATTTAGAAGGTAACTTTTTTTTCTTCTCACTATATATATTTGTTGTTCTACCTATTTTGTATAAATATAATGAATAGAAGGAAAAAAAAATCAATAATTTTAGTGCATTTCAGAAGGAGTTAATGATATTTTGTTATATAGTTCTTGAATAACTTATCAAGCATTCATGAAAGATAATAAAATAATAATTTATATATAGAATTTTTGAAAAATTTATTAAATATCTCTGAAAAATAGAAAAATAATAATTTATTATATAGTTATTAAAGAATTTATCAAGCATTCATGAATGACAGTAAAATAAAAAAGTTTATAATTTCGAAAAGCTTTTAAAGTATCTCCGAAGAAGGATTGCATGAAAAATATTTATCTTTATTATTATTTAAAAATCTATGATCTAAAAAAGAATTATATATATTATAAGGATTCCAAGAGAATTGCTAAAAGAATTATTAATTTTTATTTATTGATCAAATAATGATTGACCCTTCAGGTTGATAAGAAAAATAAATATTTTGTTTTATTAATAAAAAAGTATCAATGACGATTTTTATAGATTTTAAAAAAATTGCAACAATAGTGTTATATCGAAACTATTAAAGAATTTCATAAGGATTACATATCAATAATGCTAAAGTATCCCGGGAGCATTAATATTATTATTTTTATTAGTTAAACACTTGTGATTAAGTTCCTGAGTAACTATTTAAAAAATAATAATAATTCATGATTATAAATTTACTAAGATTAAAAAACATATATCTTATAACTAAATGTTATTAATTTGTTATGAATTATTGATTGACAAAATTAATGTGATTAGTTTAATATTTATTTCATAAGGCAATGTTATAATTGTGTGACTAACTTATTAAGATTGACAATTATATAATTAGATGTTATCAATTTGTTATTAATTTGTGTTATTGTAATTAGTTTATTTTATCAATATAAAATAATCGAATCGCTCAAATATAAAGTGAGATCTTCTTGTTCTCCTTTAATAATATTGAAGACTATAACACTTAATAAGATGATATAAGTCATTTTTTCTAAAAATAAAAAAATAAATATGAGTTAAAGATTAAAATTTTTCTGAATGACAGATATTTAATCATTTTTGAAATTTTAATATTGTAAAGTTTTAATGTGGTTTGATTGAATAAAATATTTTCTTAAAAATAATGTATTTTATAATATACATATATTTTCTTTTGTTCAATTTTCTAATGGACATATATTTATTTTTTTATTTAAATTTCTTATTAAGTTATATTTCTTGTATAAATTTGTGAAGTTATTTATATTTGTTGAATAATTTTTGTATTCTAAAATTTATATACAAAGCGTAAGAAAATATAATAACGTCTTTTATGTACTATGTAATTATGAGCAAAATTCAAAACTTGTTAATTTAAATGTCGAATTTGTAATTAAATTGTATGTCATCAACTTTTATGAATATATTTTATACATATAATTATATTATTTACTATGGATTGAAACAAATTAGAAGAATATAATTTTATGTATCATTGTAAATTGAAAGTTTACAAAGCACGTTTAAGTGTGATGTTGGAAAAATTGGTTAGGTCATCTAAGATGTATTATGATGCGAGAACTTGTTTTAAAGAACTAGAAGTTTTTTAAATCCAATAAAATTTGTGTTCCTAAAGGTAAATTTTATAAATTAAGTTTTATGACATTATATTGTTGTATCGACTATAAGATCATGCATATGTTTACTCACAACGAGAAGTGTGTGAATTTATTTTCTCAACTAATTAGACTAAGATCTTGATTTTTAAATTTTTCATAAATTTTTTGATAAGTATCACATATATTACTAAAATTGATATTGAACATCATGTAACATATGATCTTAAAAAATGAACTTGAATATCCATTATTTGGACTAGATATTAGAAACACACAAAGTATAGTATTAAATATATATTCACATTAAGCCAACAAATTATTATATGATAATTTTTCTTTTAACTTTCAAATTATTTTAGGTTAATAATCTAATAGCTTTAATATAAGTAAACTTTTGGATATGTTGGTATAATTTAATTGCTCCAGTATATTACACTAAGATGAATTTTTGAAAGAATATTGACAAAATGCATTTTATATGAATCTCATATTTGAGGTTTTATCTTTGTCTAATATTTAAATACTTGTTTGAAGTCGAGTAGGTGATTATCAATTTATAAATTAATTTTCTTAACATTAGGGGGAGAGAATAAGCATCTCAAAATGTGAACTAGAAGTTCAAATGAACAATTTGAAAGAAAATATTATTATATCATTTTGATCCTCGAAATTCAAAATACAATGAATTTGCAAAGTTTATGATAAATAGGCTAATACTTCACATAAAATGGATTCTCCTATTGAAAAATTTAATATGGCAAATGAGTTGTAGCCATTCCTGAAATGTGGTAGGAAAGTCAGTTTCAGTGTTAAAAGTCATCTACCAAGAAAATAAACTAAAGTTAAAGTTGTCCAAATTGTAGATAAGAAAATTATAAGAACACGTTAACATACCTTATTTTCAGTTCTAGAAGAACTAATCAAGTACTTGAAATACGAAATAAAGAGACCTCGATAAATTATGTCACGAATGAAATGCTATGGAGCCGAAATTAAGATAAACAAAATAAAGTCAATATTGACAATGTCTTTGTATACAATATAAAACTAAAAATGATAAATAATGACGAAGATCATCAATCAAATTCTATCAAAGTTTATAGACAAAATGAGAATTGGCCAAAATAAACATATCCAATTGAAAAAGAATTAAACTCACTTTACAAGCGACTCGCTTCTAGACATGTAATTCGGACACATCATGGTGTGAACACAATCGGATAAATGAGATTTTGTGAAAAATTAAAATAAGAATGGTGAAATTGTGAAATATAAAGCGTTATTTGTTGCTCGATGATTTTCACAAAGACCTAAGATTGATTTTTTTAAAACATATTCACCTGTAGTGGATTCGATTAATTTTTTATATTTAATTAGCATTGTAGCACATGAAGGGCTTAATTTGGAAATAATGGATGTTATGACATCTTATTTATATGTCTCACTTGATAGTGACATTTACTAAAACTTTCTAAAGGGTTTAATATATCAAAGATACATAATTTTGTATCTCGAGAAAGTTACTCCATCAAATTGAACAAGTCTCTATATGTGTTAAAACAATATGGATACATGTGCTATAATTATTTCAATGAATATTTTTTAAGGGAGAGGTATACAACTAAGGATGATTAGCATAAGAAAACATGTAGCAAAAATTGTTTTTTGTTTTATCATTACACTTTTTGTTATGCGAAATAAGCAGCGAAGACACAAAGTCGCCATCAAACTTTATTTATCCCAACGGGAAAAGGAAAACATCGAGAAAATCTCATAAGGGAAAGAAAATAGTCTCGCAACCAAATTCGGGGTTCATGAGTCGATTACGCAAGAGGAAGGTATTAGCACCCCTCGCGTCTGTTATACTCAACAAGATCCACTCTTGTTATTCTAATCAAAAGGGTGTGCATATCTAAAGCTTACTTGCTAAGGGAATGCATGAATGAAAGGATAAGAGAAAAATAAAATGGGGGAAACTAAAGCGGGCTCGCCATGATCTTGCAATCCTGTGCCTATGTATTCCCTTGTACAATGGGAAATTCAGAGCAATCGTAGTTCAGAGGACCACGGTAAAAAAAAAGGAAGGTTTCTCTCGCCAAGGATTGGGTACCAGGAAAATATTTGAAGCATCGAGACCAAGAACATCTCGAACTTCCATGGCTTCGAGTTTCTCATCTAACACACGATATCTTTCAGCAAACTCAAGAGCTCTTGGTTCTTGGTTTTCATCATCGAAACCTCCCTTTGGGAATTCGACATAGAGAATTCAACACCACGATAGTCTGTGGTATCAAGAGAAGAGGAATGTCCACCTTGGACCGTAAATT